GAGTCATACCTTTATTTGACTGGGCAAACACACTGTCAGGCGTAAGGACCCAACCTATGCACGACTGAGTTCTGAAAATTTGGTTTTTCTACGTTAAAAGAACAAAACATTACCTCCCAAATACTGTTTTATGAAGAAAAATGAATGGTAATTAGGTGACTTACCACTTCACATCATCATTATGACCAGTGTAATGTCTCTGAAGTTGCTCTTCAACGTTGAATAACACAACTACAGATGCGATGAAATACACAGTTTCACCCGTTGGAAGAAGATAGAGATTACTGCGACAGTCCCGACCCCTGTATCCATAGCTAGTATGTTGGTCAAGCGGCAATAACATTATCTACCAATGAAGAATGTTAAAAGTACGGAAAACCAAAATGAATTCTCTGCCCCTGTATTTCCTGAAGTCGGCATCTCTTAGCCTGAGCACAGCTTTATCACTTGGCAGCCTTCAGAACTCCTTCCCTTAGGACAGAGTAGAGAGCTAAAGCGTTTCACAGGCTGAGTAACTGAAAACCTACACATCCTACAAAAAATACATGGTAAAGGAAACAGGATTTTGTGATATCCCTTCAGTATCCACTAGAATTTGCTAAATGCCAGACTAAGGCAATATTAATTTTGTCCCGAGTGTATTTACTATTTACACTGGTTGACTAATTAAAACTAAAATTTAGACTTGATGGAAACACTAATAAGTCATTCAGTACATTTCCCTGCATTACATTAGGATTGATTGCATTATCCTTTGTGCAAACTGATTGATTTCATTATTCTGGGCATTACCAGCCAGATGGATATGAAACCGTAAAAGGGTTACATCATCCCTTCCAATTTATTTTTGTAGTATTTCAAAGGCAGTGGCCCAGATTCTGATGCTAGTCATATCGACACTAATCTAAAATTAATCCAATGAAATAACTGGAATTAACCCAGAAATAATCTCATTTAGACCAAATGGTAATTCAGCCAAATTATGCAGTTTTATTCTTCTGAAGAGTCATTAGGGACTACAACTATTTTGGCTTTCCTTTTTTATGGGAACAGAGGGAAACAGCATTAGCAGAACCTTGACAAAACAGAAATGCATTCTAATAATTCAGTCAATATGGAGAGACCGGCTGTGATAAATATATGGAGAAGTACTGAAACCCCAATTATGTGATATTAAGAAGATACTTATGCACTATTCTCTATGGCCAATGATAACCCAGTCAAATTAAAAGAACTCATGTTAACATTGTCTAAGTAGTAAGGAAAACAGTTATCTTACTTCTAAAATAGGAATTTAAATAAACAGCTTGCTGATTTTTTTAATAAATGCAAAAGAAGTAGTGCTGCATACCCAACCATCAAAAAGTGTATTAGGAAATAAGATTTTGGACACCCAAATTGAAATATTTCAGCCGATGATCCTTCAAGTTTAATATGGTCATATTTGAAGACATGTAAACAACCAATTTCTTTAAATTACAATGCATTTACTTTCAATTTTGAATCTGTCTGTAAAGGCGAGTTACTGTTCTAAATTGCAGGACTGCGTTAGTTCTTTATTTTTCTGTAGAAGGCCAAATGAGATTACCAACTGAAGCCAACGTAAAACTTCCCCAGTTAACAATATCTAATCAAGTTTACCATGAGCTAGCAGCTGAAGTCAGCTGAAGGAACTGAACTTTTTTAAAAAGTGAAATAAAAACATTATACAGACATTCATAAGGAACAAATGTCTGTGCATAAAAATAGCTATTAAATGGGAAAGATTCTCCCTTTCTTTACGATTCTTCCTGTGGGGAACAATGCTGCATTCAATCCTTCACATGATTGCTGTTGTCAAACACTCAGTTTCTTTCTATCAGCCCTTCTTCTCAGATGTAAACTCCTGGGGTTGATCTCTCCTTCTCCTCACTGTTTCCCACACTCGGATTCAGAGGCTTCAACTTTGATTTGGTGAGTTGGCACTTCAGGGAATGTTATCTTGACCTTTTCTTTTCGTTGGGCCTCCAGCTTTTGTTTCAAACCTCCTGCTTGCCAAGCGAGCCAGTCTCAAACAAACCCGTGCAGACCACAGCTCCCGCCCTCACGGCCCCAGTGCAGATTTCTCGCTCGGATTTTACCACTTCAGCTCCAGCCCTTCCTCACACTTCATCACTCAGCATTTCTGTTTCTTCATGTCTGAATATACCTGATGTGGTCTGAATCTTTGTTGGCTTACCCAGGTATCTGCCAACATGACCGTAAAACCCCTTTAGGGTTCAGGTATGCCCTGAAATCCACACACTTTAGATTTTCTTGTTTCTCATCATAGTCTGCTTTGCCTGTTCCATTTCTCCGTCTCACTTCCAGTATCTTGTTTCTCTATCCCCATTCTTACATTATAAAGCATTTCTGGCCATAATCCCACAGCCAGGCTGATTTTTCCACTACAAAGATGTTTTCTCCTACTCCAGTTCTGTTACCCTCCAAGCAAACAGCTCAGTTTCTCCACCTTAACTGGAATGAACACCTGCAATATCAGTTCGTTTTCTGCTGTCTTCATCTTATTCCTTAGATTATTTTACCCTCCTGCCCCCAGGTTTTCTTCTCACCATTATAGTGTGTAAATTGGGCATTACTTTCTCTCTCTTTTTAATATACCTGGTCGTTGGTGTAACTTTTAAGTATGTATATGATGATTTGGTTTAACTGCAAAAGAATTAAGACCTGAGAAAAAAAAAAAAAGCACAGTTGCTTCCTCCTCAGTAACCATTCAGACTTTGAGCACTTTATTAATCCAGACCTTTTCTATTCATAGATAACCTTTATATATAGGATTCTGCTGGGTATACAGACATGCACCTGGAAGTACATATGAATATGCCAACTAAACATACTGCTTCATCTGGCAAATATTCAGACATTTAAGTAAGCTTAAGTGAGAAACTAATGAGGCTGAATTGCTAATAAGTGATAATTATCACTTCTTACAATAGTCTGAAATATTAACTGCAGCTTCCACCTACGCCCTGCTAATGACAATCTGTTTTGGTTCATGGTTGAGGGTTTTTGTTGTTTCAGCAAGAATCCTAACACTTTCTCCCATGTCATCCCTTAGGCCGCCTCAGCGAGGGGAACCTTGCAAGTGAGGACACCACTCAATTCTGTTGTGACATATGGTGAGACCCATACAACAATTAGGTAAAATTTATCACTAATCTCAGCTGGTTTATTGATTATGTCCTTTTTTGTTGCTGTTGTTTTTTTTTAACTCATCTTCAGTTATTTTTGTATGCATTATCTATGCAGTTCCAACAGAGTAGGGTAGAACCTACAGGCTCAGCTGCAATAGGAATAATAAGAATGGTTACTAAATCTGTCATTAATCTCTTGTGAATACAATGGGACTTTTGGAAACTCTCTGTGTGCATTCTGAAACCACATGCAGTCCTATTTATACAACTTTGAAAAAGACTATTCACAGCCTGCTTTCTTTTTTATGAACGCAAAGCAACTTCCTATTTGCACTGTTGGGGACCAAAAAAAAAAAATGTATTTCTTAAAACAGAAAACCTTATGAAGATGAAACCTTATCTCTCTAAAGACAGTGGGTATTACAAACAGACTCAGATCTTGTGGTGTTTATATTTTACCTTGAATCATCTAATTCAAGACTATATAAAAAGAATTCAAGAATATACTCAGATTATACATTATACAATCATTGATTCAAGAATATACTCAGATTATACAAAAATGAAATGTCTTTTTTTCAATAAAGAATCCATTTTCTCATTATATTTAAAAGTGAAATGTGAAAATTCTTGTATGTAATGCAACACTGATTTCTTTCAAGTTAGAATTCGGTAATTATGTCTACTCTTAGAAGTCAGTGGAAAATCCTGGTTGTTCAGTACTTACGGTGCTCAAACACAGTTTAAAATCATTATTTTATGTATGATATCTTATTGATTTTATTGCTAAGCACCTATCAGTTGCAAAACACTATTCAATTCAGGGCTTATTCAAGTACCGAATTTGATGACAGCCTCCTCTACAGGACATCATTTTATAAAACTCAGTTTACACCGATAAATTACTGCTGAGAATCGGCAAAAAACTCTGAGCTTGTTTTATGCCTACTATAATTAATAATCACAGCTCACTACACTCTTACATGCCTAGTTCAATCTTTAGCTAATTAGCATGCTTCAGACTTAACCTTCAGGCAACATTTAAGCAAAATCTTACTTAAGCTGCCACCCTGTACTTCACAAGGTGCAAAAGAGCAGCCTCAAGAAATTCACACTTATTTCAATGGAATGTCGTTCTGCTAATGAAACAAAACTAATTATGAAAGTTCTTAATTTTGCTATACTTTAGCTCGAAAAATTACTTAAAAGAAATCATTACAAAATGAATGCTTTCCAGTCGTCCTCTAGCACAGAAAGGATACACCCATTCCAGTTTAAGCCTCTTGGCTGGTAGTTCTACTTTTGCTTCCAAATTGTAAGATTCCACTTGCTCTTTGGGCATGTACATGGTAACAGGACGTCCACGAAGAAACATTTTTACGTATCCTTCCTCTACAAAAGGTCAGAAATGTTTAGTGTTACACAAAACACACATCAGTGGAGAACTCCCGTGCTCCTCCATCCCTTCCCACTTAACAGTTGGGTGCGTTACAATTACAGAATGACATGCAATCTCAGGCTTAGAAATTAAGCAGGGCTTTTTTTTTCTTCCTAAATAATAATCACTAAGCAGAATTTTTTTTAAACACACAAAGTCCCTTTCTCCCCTAAATATTTTGCGCGGCAGAATTAGAACTAAACAATGTCATGAAGAACTACAAAACTGAAAGGACTGAAATCAAAACTCTTTTTGTGAAAAATAATGTTACAACATTACGGGGGTTTAAATCTTAAAAACGAAGGAGAAAACAAAGATTACAACTAACGCAGAAATGCCACTTAAAATTAATTTTATTTTTTAATCAATACAGTGAAGCATCAGCATCTAAAGTATATTCCAACACTCAGTTGCATTCTTTGCATCTCAGTGTAAAGATATGCTTTACACTTGATACAGTGTTAGAGATACATTCGAAATAAGGAACACAAACAATTAATAAAAGGAATCATGCTGATGTACATGCAGAAAAAAGATGTGCTTAAGAGTTACTAAACATTGAAAAAGGAATGACAACATTGACAGCACATTAAAAGAAAGGGAAATGACATACAGGAGAGAAGCTACAAAAAACTAAATTGGCTGACAGAAGTAAACATTTCTAGAAGAAAATACTAGAAGTAATGTGTTGACCTGGTAAGAAATATTTTTGGGAGAGAGAAGCAGGGATTAATAACAGATCTGGAAGTACTGACTTGGGGACTTCATGGGGCTTATAAAACTAGGAGATCTGGGATATGCCATGAAGGTCTGACTAGGACTTTTGGGAACTGGCAAGGCCAAAGTGGGTGTCCTGTGAACTTCTGGTGAAGTTTGTCCAGATTCAGAACGTGCTGGCTCTTGCTGCTCCATCGGCAGATCAAGGGGTTCAGCCTTGTTCTCATGCGAATCAAGCAGTTTTGGAGTCAGTGACATCTGTAGAGTTACTAGACAGAATAATCGTGGGCACAGAGGAAATGGAAGGGCAAAAGTAACAAAATCATGTAAATAAAAAAAATGTATACAATTTAGGTCTGTTAAAATTATGCTATGAATTGTTAAGTATCATTATAACTATACCATTACTTTTTAAATTTGAAAACTAAGGCTTTATTTTAATTGGAAATATGCATACACTACAAATTCTGACTAAATTAATAAAAATTATTGTTTGAACAAATAGACATCATAGCTATGCTGCATTACCTAAATATCTGTGTATTTTTGCCTTTAGACTAACTCATTTGGGAAAGAGATCCACTTCATCTGTCACAGTAAAGTTACAGCTAGGGCTCTCTAAAATCCCTTCATTTACAGAATTCATACATATAATGAAAACAACAGAAAATGGAACGCTAAAAAGAAGCAATAATAATGGTGAAACAATGGTGACAGATGGTTGGAGTTTAAGACGCCTGTTAAAATGCCAGAATACTGGAATTGTTGTTAAAAACCTACTCCAAAAGATCTGTACTGGCAAATAAACTATAGAGGGCAGAGCATTAAATAGCAGAGCATTACAGCACTATTTGTATGCGCATGCAGCAGCTACTTAAAGAGCTTGGAACACATGCCAATACTACTGATACTGGTGCACTGGAATTCAATAGATTTTCAGCATTGACAGCCCATGACTGTGCTTATCAAAGGCTGGGAATGAATGGAAGTTTAAGTTATTGAACTGCTTTTCTCACCTGAAGCTTATAGGACTCATAAAACTTGCTTTTAGCCATCTACATTAGAAATTCTATCTGACCAAGTCACTCAAAACTCCTTTGAGAGTAAATAGGGAGAAACACGTGCTTTTGGACATATTAACCATATTTTAAAGCAGATGTCCAAAAGCACGTACAGTAAATTCTATGAAGTATATTATACCAAGTATATAAATTATGCCTTCAACATGCCCCTCTCTCTATGAACTATAAAGAGGAACTTAGGCTGACTAGGACAGGCGTAGAAATACATACTGTGTATTTCTTTCTAACTTTGGGTAATATGAATTCTACCTGTACTCAATTTGTTACTAGTCCAAATGTATTCCCTACCTAATCAATCAACACCCCTTTCTTTGTACTTTTCTTAATTAAGTTTTTAAGACAGGCAAGTTCTAAATGTGAAGATATAGATGTAAAGACAGACAATCATCAAACTACAAAGACAGACCAATGGTGAAACTTTCAGACAAATGTATCTTTTACATCTGCAATTTTGTAAATTTGAAATTGTTGTTGAAATAACTGTAAAAATTAACAGTTACTGAAGTGAGAAGGCAGGCGAATGCCAGTAGGATCTGCAAAGGAGACCACTACTGATTGCAGGCACAAAACTGTACAAAGAATACACAGAGGTAGAGACTGTCTAGAGGAATTTGCTTTGAGAACAAACATTCTTTGCTTTGTGACATTTTAGATTCACCACAAAGCTGAAAGATGCTGATTAGTAGGAAAATTGTTAGGATTAGCTCTCTCAAAAAGCAAGATAAACCTGTGATTATATCACAGCCAAACATGCATCAAAAATGTGGATATTGACGCTACAGTTCAGCTAAAGCTATAGAAAACAATATGGTATGTTTACCAAATGTAACTCTGCTTTATGACATTGAGCAACAAAACACTGAGAAATTAGTTGGAGGCCTAGATCTGTTTATTCAACATTCAGAAAAATCTACAGTCTACTCGGTAAGAAGCAGCAAGGGAAAAACCAAGGCTTCTATAATCACGTTAGGTTAACAGCGAAACAGCCAAGAAAGGGGCAAATTCTACATGAATTTCAGCAAAAGTGCAGAACACCATTTCAAACACAGTGAACATCCGCGTGGGGCCATATAGCTCTCTCAACATTTTTTTTTTCTAATTCAAATTCTTCTGAAAAATTCCAGGGGAATCTAAATTATAACCCATTATTCTTATTAAAGTGCACCAGAGGGTTATAATTCAGCAGACTGTATAATAGATGGCATAATACTTTTGTTTCATTCAAAAGAACTAGAAAAGTTTTAACATTGCAAAATGCACGCAAGTTTGGAAATAGCTGTTTAACACCTTGAGCTTTTATCCCACCAGTACCATTTTGCTTCGAGAGCTATGAGGTTTTGGAAGTGAAGCCTACCTTTGCAGTGCGTCACACGGCGCTTCCCTTGTGATTACAGAGACAGAGACAGAAGGGCTAGATAAAGATGTGTTTGAATACAATAAACTCACTAAATACCTGCTCTATCTGCTGTCCAGGTGTATTCTACTGGAGGCTAATGGGGTACTTGACAACACAGAACCATACTCCCTGCCATACGATGGGCAGTTACAGTCAAAACCCTTCTCCTCCAGCTCGGGGCTCTGTTTAGTTCTCTCATTAAAATCCTAGCTTATGCTCCATTATGTCACTCTATGCTTAAGGTAAGTGACATACCATGTATAACTTTCTTGGGAAAAAGAAAATCATTAATTTCAGTAGGAATTTTGTCCAGGTGAGAAAGGCCAAAGTAGTGTCACATCTGTTAAATTACTGATCTTTATCTTCAGGGAATGTGTCAGAAGAAACATTATTCCAAATACTTTTGCTTACATGGTACAAGGGAAGGAGGCATCCTGCACATCAAAGTATATTCTGTGTGAATCAGAAGTTTTCTTTTTCTAAACCAGCAATTTTCACAAAAGGGACATAAACTGTGACTATTGTCACAAAATACTCAAGCACTTAGGTAGCTTTATACTTCAGAGTTCACAATCCATTACACTAAAGCCTGAAGCATGGCCTAAGAGCTTGGGTGGATGGAGATCACCCCCCCCAGTAAACAAAAGATATTCTGCCTTTTCAGCTCACTGTGTGGTTACTGTTACAGAACTATACACAGAAAGAATATGATACATCTGATAAATTGACAGGTTTTTCCCCTTTCTTATTTTATTAAAAGAAAGCTTTTAATTGTCCTTGTTTTTTCAGAACAAAAGTACTGTTATATATACTACTCCACTTTGTATTTTTACTGAGATCATTCAGAAGTTTGTAACAGTGTAGCATCAAGGACGAATTCTGCTTTCACTTACACCTAGTATTTCACTTTCAGAAGTAAGAAAAAAATAAAGTGATTTTTTAATTCAAGATAGACTTCCAAAACAGTAGTAACAAGACACCTGTTTTATTTGTAACCTGACAAATTGTATTACACGGCATTAGGACAGATGTGACATTCTTTAACAGTAGCTGAGGGCTCCCTTTTATGACTAAATTAACACGACAGCATCACAGCTGGAACTCGGCATATGCTTTAATTAACAAAACCTTAATACCGCTTTGAAAGGGAAAACATATTTGGGGTAAGAAGACACAGCCCTTTTCTTTGTCTTCTTACAAAGAATCCAAACTCTAAGATAAACTTATTGGGCCAAGAAAAACTAGGGAAACTGTCCAACGTTTTAATAAAACATATATCCTCAGTAGCCTGTAAGTATCATGTTTATCTTCCCAATACCAGTTCCTATCCTAGGCAGGCATACATGGGAGGAGGGAGGGAGGGCGGGAAAGGGGAAACAACTTATATATCACAGTTGTTATCTGCTTAAAAATCTTGAGTTCCTACCTGCACTGAACATCGGTTCCTTGGGTTTGCTGTGGAAAGAATGAAAAAATTTCTGTTTTAAAAGGCATGCCCATAAAGTCTGCACATATAAAGTTATCAATGTAATATAAAGTTAAAAATATGGAGGATATACAGTATTTTTGTGTGTGTACATATAAATAAAAATACTTTTTCAATTCAATTATTTACAAGGCAAATCCCTAGGCAGACACGATTAAAGCCAGCATACATTGTTACAGGTGTTAAAACTTTTACGTTCAATTCTCCTTACGTTCTCAAAACTACACATTTCCCTCTACTAACCATGAGACCTTCTTCCCTTGCAGTTAGTCCAGTTACGGAAGGACGCAAACCGCCCATGGGTAGCTGCATCAGTTTTGGTTTCCAGGCAGTGAGATCTGTTACTCCAAAGCTGTTGACAACCCCAAGAAAAAGCTAGGAATATATCCTTAACTACAAATTCTCTGCGTATGTGGGGCATGGGAGGGCTACTGTATCAGTGCATGTGAGGGTGTTCACTTACTTCGTGGCTTTGCTCTCTCTGGATTTAAGGAGCAAACCATACTTTGAATCCTGATTTTCCAAAGGGTTGACATAAAACATGGAAATGCCCGATTGTTCCTTGGTGAATGACAGTATCTGGTAAAAACCAGAAAGCACATATCCATCATGATTAAAAGGTTTTCTCTTTCTCACTGAACTGCTGCCTGGAAGACAACCTGAAATGCTTTGTCTTTTTTTTTCTTGAGAAAACACTTGGCAAAACTCAAGGGGAAAATACATGAAGTGTGTGGAGAAGGAAGAGGCAGAAAAGCTGAGGAGCTCTCTGGACAGTACTACCCTGGCCAGAAAGAAGCAATCTTTTTCAATAAATAACAGTCATTTATTTTCTTTGTCCTTCTCCCCGGTATTAGTAGACCTGAGGGTATTGTTTCTGATTAAGCATCAAAGGGACACATAGTTGTATTATGCCGTTATTTTGCCTCCCAGTTCCATTCTCTTTCTATCCAGTGTAACTTTTGAAATATTAGATAACTGTTGTCTGTTCTTAGGGTGATCCCAGAAGTATCCTATCATTTCCATGGTGAAATGCTGAAGCATGAACTATCCCTAGAGCTGTGATGCCATCTCCACATCTATTCCTAGACTGCATAGGCAGATTAAGAGAAACCAAACGAAACTGGGTTGGATTTTTGCACATAATTTTTCTATGCATAAAAGATTCTCTCTTGCTCTACAAAAGAAGTTGGCAAACAATTTTAGTGTTTTTCCTTCTGCCTTGATTTGACAGTTATATTAAGAAAAATGCATTTAGGTAATGATAAAAACAAAACAAAAAAGAATTCTACTGATCCTACCCATTGATTTAGCAACTTTTCATAGTATCAGCCTTGGTATTAATCATGCATCAAAATTTACGCTTCAAGCTGGGCTTACACAGCCAATCTCACTTATATAAATAGCATGATGGGTTGCTAACACCAAAATTAACATTTTCTTTTATGAATGAAGATATTTTTAGAAAATAAGAACCTTATGGGATGGAGTACTAGTCAGAAATGCTGCCATATTAGAGACAAAAGAGGTTCTAGTTCTGAACAGACCATGCTGACTTATTCAAGCTAATGTGAAAGGGTGATTCATGACAGTAATAAAGCAAATCATGTGTACTTTCTAATTACACAAACCCTAACCACACACAGAGCTCAGAGCTCTGACTACCCTTTTTTATTTCTGTGAACTTGAGTCACTTCCTAAGTATCTAACCCTTTGGAAGACTCACCTCTGGACTCTTAGCCATAGGGTGTTGGGACACCCCACGGCAGCACAGGAGATTATGGTCTTCTCCCTATGCTTAAAGCTTCTTAAAATAGCTTTCTATAGAATCATGGTTTTGCGTAACAGCCTACAACTCTTTGTACTTTGAAAAACAGTAATTTCACAGCTGCCTTGTTACACTCCTGGCATGCAATCTGCTTTAAGCTTCATCTACAGACCAGCCATAGATTCAGAGTACCTCAAGTTGGAAGGGACCCATAAGGATCAACGATGCAAATCATAAGGCTGTGAGTAGAGGGTTAAGTGACACCCTCTTCCTCACTCCTTCACACATACAGTTAGTTTTAGGAGGGCAGCCTTAAGCCTCAGCGTACAGAATCATGCTCATTTGTCTTCTAGTACCATGACTCTTGCTTTATATTTTGCCCAGCTTCAACAGGAAGCAGGAGGCAAGTCCTTAGCCAGCCACTTCCACAGGATAAGACACTCTTCAAGGAGGTGAGAGGTGTGGTGCTGAACACCCTCAGGCTGCATGTGACAGGAATCAGAGAGAACTCTAACCATACAGTGATTGTTCTCATAGTGACACCAACATCACTAGCTCCAGCTCGGGCAATCTAACACGCACTCTCGAGTCGTTCCTTGGGATGCTTGCACTTTATTTAGGCACTGAATCACTTGTGTGCTGGATGTCCTCCCTGAGCCCAAAGTAAGGGATTTCTGATTGATGCTGTTGCTCAACCCTTTGGGGCTTAACAAGTGCAGAATGACACAACCATTGGTTTTCTGTTCAAACAATGTGAAAAAAAAAAAAATGCATCTCAAGGAGGGTGATCAACTTTACAGCAGAATCAAAACAATTTGGCAGATAACCATTCATTATGTCACAATGTTTTTACTTCCCAGCTGTTTTGGAATCCATTTTTCAGGTGTACAGTACCTCTGCTTAGCTGCTAGAAGTTGTATCTTTCCTTAATTTAAATGAACAACCACCTAATTAATCATCTCACCTTATTTCTTTAGTAGTTTTAATACAAAACTGATTTCAGATAAATATCACCTTATGCAAGTAGCAGGAACTCAGGGTTATCTTAAAAAAACCCAGATTTTGCAAGGCACTGTTTTTAGGTTTTGAAAAGTTTTATCTTCCACTGCACAACATCTGCAGAATCCACCTTCTGGGGACTTGAAAATTTTTGTTTTAAAAAAAATTATAATACAGAAAGGACACTGCAGGATCATTTATATGTTTGTTGAACTTTTTTGAAAATCTACAGTTAACTGGAAAAGTAATGACATTTCACCATTGGTAGCTGTACTTCCTCATCACATTCCAGAAAGAAAAGTCTTCCCACCTAATTATAGAACTATAAACTTTTTTAACAAAAAGTTTCTAAGAAATTTGTTTTGTTTCTATAAGGTGGGTTTTTTTTTAATTTATGAGGTCACAACGTAACGGCTTTTGCTACAGTTTGGTACCTGCCACAGAGCAGGATGTTACACATATAGGCAAAATAAAAAGCAAAAAGTCAGCTTCAAGAAAAATCCAACAGCTTCAAGAAATCAACACAGAAACCAGCAGTTGCTTCTGAATGAATTCACAAGACAACACAGCTGTATGACGTTGTGCACTACTGCAACACCTCACAGAACTTCCAACGTAAACTAAGCGCAAGCTTTTATCTTCTCAGCAGTCCCTTCACTGGCCATTAATTTTTTGCTTTGTTTTGCCTTTCAAAACTTTCAGGCTCACTTGCCCCTACGAGTGCTGATAAGTGGTTTTCTGCTTCAGCAGTATTCTATCAGATGTACTAAGTATACATTCTGATTTAGAAGGGTCTGAGATGCTTAGTAACAATTTTGTCCAAGTCTGCATACGCAGAAAGAGACAAGGCTTCTAAGTAATCAAATAAAAGATTGATCTTCCTCTCAAAATTTGTATTTTTTAGTGATTACTTGGAGTTAATTGCTATAGTAATTTTTTTTTAATTCAGCGCCATTACAGGATTCTCATCTCTTCCAAATACATTCCCCAATGGCTATCTGTTGTTTATAATTATTTAACAAAAAAAGAAGGGGGGGGGGGGGGGGTGTGTGTGGAAATCACATGCTGAGATAAAGTCAGATTTCCAGAAGTGCCAGAACATCCAGTCTTGCCAAATTCTGTCAGCTTATAAAAACGTCATTCACGTGCACCTATGCACAATGCCAAGATTTTACACCAGCTTAATTTTTAGTTTGTGTAAATATTGTAACTATACCTTCCTTGGTTACAATTTTATAACCTTTTCCCTGATGGTATTCTTGCTTTTTTCATTATTCCCATAATTTTCTAAGGCTCTCACAAGTTTCAGAAACTTTGCACACTTGCTGTCTTGCTTCATGGCTGAAAATATAAGCCAGGAAACAAACTTAGTTTTGTCACATATATTCAGGCTGTCCATTAGTACACAGCCACCTCAGGACTCCTTACAGCAAGCAAAGATGTGGGAGGAATGAGAAGGAAGTGATGTTTTGTGCCACACCATTGGCTCATGAGCATCCCAGTGACTCCTGACAGCAGTGATGCCCAATCAGAGCAGGTAAATTAGGTTATTATGTGAACTTTGTTAGCATCCTGTTTCTATGGTCACATCATCTGTGAGTTAAACAATACCATCAACACCACTTTTTGGTGGTGGGAAACTGGAATAGGACAGGTGAAAGGAAATGGCCAAGACTAAAATCTGTCTAGGAAATATGGGAAAGAACCAGTTGAGCAATACAATGACTTTGCCACAAGCATCAGCTATTTATTCACGACCATCCCGAGTCTGAAACCCTTAGACAAGACATTCTCCTTTCCGTGTACTATCAGCAGTACAGAGAAGCATCATCAGAGATATATAGAGACAGGCATTCCACTTCTTTGGATAACACTTGCATGTAAGCCTCTCCCCCCACTTCTCATTAACCTGACCCTTGGACAGAGGCAGTCACTGCTCAGAGACTGGCTGGGCATCAGCCTACTTGTGGGAGGTGGTGAGTGATTGCCTTTCCATTGCTTGGTTTGCTTTTTCTTCCCCTTTCTTTCATTTATTAAACTGCCATTGTCTTGACCTATGAGTTTTCTCACTTTTGCTCTCCCTTGTCTCGTCCCCCATCCTGCTGGGGCAGAAGGAGTGAGTGGCTGTGTGGTGCTTAGCTGTCACCTGGAGTCAATGCACCACATCCAAGAACCTGAAGACCAAGGGAAACCACTAAGATAATAGAAAAGGTATTTTCCAGGCAACTGGAAGTTCTCACATTGTTTATTGTTTGGAAAGAAGGCAAATAAATTTCATCTATATTTGAGAACCTGTTTTATTTGAAGTGTTTTAAAACACATTTTTGTCCAATTGTTGGAGCTTAAAAAAAAAAAAAGCAGCTCCCAATATTTGCTAAACAAGAGAAACTGATTTCACTAAAAAAACTAATTTCATTCTCAGGGCAACAGGCAGAGAAAGGAGATAGATATTTAGATAATGTTACCTTTCACTGTTCTTTTTACCACTGGATGAACTGCTGGTGGATCCAGTGCGGTTGCGACTCCCTTTGGAATCTCCATAGCTTTCCCTCCGAACGCCTGGGGACACACGCTCAGCTGAACTGGTTCTCTTAACGGTGCTAATAGAAAAAGGAGTAAGTTTTACAGTGGCACTTGTAAAAGCCAAATATTTTTCAGCAACATATCAAGTAGAATGCTGGCCCTAAACATACCTACAACTTTGCTTTTAAGTGTAACTGGATTTGTTCAAGAGCCTACGTATGAGTTTTGCTGAGTATCTGGTGCAACGGAGACAAACATACTGCTTTTTCCTTCGTCATAAAATAGAAGATGGGCTAAACCAGTATCACAGATTAACCTGCAACATCTATTTTCCAGGTCACATTCCAAATCTCTGACTACACTCCACACTTCTGGATTCTCTTAGTAAATGAAAGATTTAAAGAGAAAGCGCATTACCTGACACCTCCAGCCAGACTACAGGGAATGCCAAAAGCAGGTCAAAATTTGAGCACCAGCAAGCAAACTTTGTGTCTTCATTTAGTATCACTTATTCTGTGGTTCAGTGCTGGTTTAACATACCCCAAAGTGTAATTAACGGTAAGCAAGCCTGCATTTTTTTCATTATCTTGTCAAAAATGTATGCTTCCTACTTATGTGTATGAATAGATTAGATTCCCCACGTCTCCTGACAAGGGGTTTCTCAAAGGCTTAAAGCTTGCCTTACTCTCTCACTTCTTCTACCGCCCTTCCTGCCAAGGTAGCTATCGGGGACTTCTTGGATGACTTTATGACACCCCTTAGTCACCCAGCTCTCTCTGATGGAAAACCATGAGCCAAAACACAAGCCGGATTACTTAGTAAATTAAGAGAAGCCCCTCAGAGCTGACACCTAATAGGAGACAAGTTATTGTGGTTATTCGTCAGTCCAAAGCGCTTCTCCCTAAAGCAGTGCTTCCTAGCAGGAGAGGGAGCAGCTATAGGTAAGGCCCCAAGCTGGGCGATGCTTTCCACCTTGCTGCACTCCCTGCGCAGCAGAGAGGTGCAGGCAGGGTTACCTGGACCGAGGCAGGAATTGCCCGCAGGGCAGGAGCTGAACGTGTCAGGGTCTCAGCTCCCCCCACCCCAGTCCTGTGCTGTTTTCTCCTCTCCAAGGAGCAGAACGGAAACGTCCCCATTACCCATAACATCTCCATAACTAAATGACCGTGTTCAGTGGCTCTCTCACCCCAGAAAACATGGATGCCAATGACTGCTTTCAAGCTCACGCCCCTCTACCCAAAATCCCAACCACAAGCTCCCTCTCTCTGTGAAAACCTCTGTTCTTTCTGTTCTTGCTCCTTCAAGGCCCAGCCGTCCCTTTCACCACCCCCAGCCAGCTCCCCCTTGAGCCCTGTGCATCCCCAGGGATGCTCTGCTTACCATAAAGCTCATCTCCAGCATCCTTAAGGACTACTCCAAACCTCTCCATCAGTCCCTAACAACTATCCCTACCCTGTTAGCTCAGAGAGCTCCTCAGGCTCTGCCCCACTTTATGTGGGGTAAGGGAGGCATTGGCTCTTCATAGCTAATGGGAATGAGACACACCTTTCTGTCTGGCCAAAAAATATTCAGCTTATCAACTGTATACCACCACTGATATGCCTTTTTTTTTTCTTTTTGCAAGAAAAAAAAAAAATTCCTGCTCCCTCATGTCTTTTTACCAGTGAGGAGGGGAATGTTTCAACACCTCAGCTGAGGGTCAGTTACAGAAACAACGGGAACAACTGCACCAGTGTCCTTCTGCAAAGCAACCACCCTTCTAAAAGGAAGGGACCCCCATCCAGGGGGAAGTCTGCTGAGCAGCTGCATCTCAGGTAGCTTGACAAAAAACTTGCAATGGTAGAACAGATGTTCAGTGCTGCATTTTTGTCTTAAAACCAAGCATGATTCAGGCGATTAAGCCGAAATGAAAAAAACAAACAAACTGGTTTTGTGGAGAGCACTATATAAGACAGCAAGCAGAATGTGAAGTTACAGGCAGGCACAGAAAAAAAGGCATTAATTGGAGAAAGGGGAAAGGCAGTCAAAAATTTAATTCTTCCTTCACTTCAGAAATGTGTCTCCTACATCAGCCTAACATTATCCAAGTTGTCTCAATGTCAAATGCAAAAAACCCACCTCCTTTAGTAAATTAAATAATATTGTGTTAACATTTAACTGTTCTCCCTGCATCTCATATCATCATCAGATGTAGTACTACTGCAGTTAAAAAACAAAGCCCTGATACTGAAAATGTTTACTCCATGTAAAACACCTTTATTAGCATAAGTCCTTCTGCTACTTTGTATACAATGCTTGAAAAAACATCCTTTCAATGTGATCCTGCAGGATCAAAACTGCAAAAGCTTGGCATCTTTTCCTGGTTAAGGAAAAGAAGAGGCACTATGAGCCTCCACTGAAAATAGATTAGGGAAATCACCAAGTTAGTCTAATGTTAGGTAAAAAAAAGTTTTCAACTAATTTCAATATCGCTTGGGGTTTTATTTTTACAGCTATCAACATTAAAAAGATGAACTGGTGGATAAAAAAAAAAAAGAATGGATGAGACTAAAGCTTAAAAGTGTAATGCTATCTTCATTCTGAATAATGAGGACTCATATCAGTATGAAAACTACTTTTACCACAGGAACAAAGTTCTTTTAAGCTCTTTTGGCTTATGTCCATTACTGCTTAAACTAATTAGCAATGCTATCTTTTGACAGATTTTATTTTAAACTTTCAACAATAACAAAAAAGGCCCAGTGAGAAGTATCAGCAGGTGCTTGGAAAAGATTATAACTCCCTTATATTAATTTTGGCACATACACGTTTTGGTAGCTATAGTGTTAAAACAGCAGTGATTCTATCCGTGGCTACTGTAGATAGACTGTCACATGAGGAGGAATTTAAAATGATAGAAAATGTTCATTTAACTTACAGATTTGTAAGAGCATAACTGGATCCCAGAATTTGGCTCCCACATGAGTGATATGAAAGGAGAGCGTTTTCAGTTATTTAAAAAGATGAACAAGTTAAAGATTGTTACCTACTGTTAAGAAAGCAATGGTGTCTAATGAAACACCCCTATAGTAAAAATTATGTTAGCATGAGATAATGCGGATACCGTAACTGAAATTATTATCATCTAAGGTTTGCAATGCATTTATCAATGATGAGAAAGTTTTAAACATGTACTTCTGAAAATGTTAAAAATGGGAATAAGAATTGCAGTTCTGCCATGTTAATGCTTGCAAAACAGCCACTTTACGTGTTGAACCAAAATGGAAAGGAAAAACAACCGAGCTTGAACACTACAAAGCTATTAAGGATCCCTCACCTTAGAGCAGGCTTTTTCAGTTTGCATGCATTGAGAAGATTCACAGACCTGCTTAATCCAGTTTGAGAGGTGCGTAAACAAAGCAGAATAAAAAGTGAATGCAACAATAAAATGTGGAAACAAGACATATAAAACAAATTTACATTAAAAGACATAATTGCATGCTTTCGAGATATGAAGTCACGTGCAAGAGTAAACACCACAGTGCTTATTCACTCAGTCAGATGTTTGATCATTTCAAACCATACATTTAACAACACCAATGTATCTTTGAATGACAAAAATCTCAGCAATGCTCCAATACACTGACCATTTCCAAAGCGACTCGGAAAAAACAGAAAGAAAATCAAAGAGGCTATCTGAAGCAACAAGACAGATGATCCAGCTAGAAGACAAAGACTATTAAAAAGGCAACAACAAAGACAAGAAAATAAATCCTCATATTATATCTCACACATAGAGCACTGCATAGCATGAACGTTTCAGACGGTTGCATTACTGAACTGTGGGAAACCAATCTGGCCCAAAATAAAAATATAAATACACTTGATTATCAAATTTGGGGGGAAAAAATAAAAGCTTAATAACAAAAAATACAAAATAGCACCCGATGCTCTTAGACAGAAACTGATCATATTAATAGTATTTTGAAACTTCTCTAGCACTCTGTCTGACCCTCATTTAAATCAATTAGAATAAATTCAAGGATAACACAAGATTTTAATTTCATTATGCCTTTGAGCAAAACGCACTAATAACTTTAACTGTTAGAGACAGAGTGAAGTGGCATAAGAATTTCGCCACTGGAAGTTCAGTGGGGAGGGATTTCTTTTTTAGTTTATATCCGGTTTGTTTTAGAACATTTCCTTTGAGAACCAAATGGAAAGCAGGGGCCTTAACTGAAGGTTCGATACAGTTCGTGGGTGCCAGTTACAAACCCTCGCTGCCCCCAGAACAGAACGCGGAACATTAATTCCAGGCGACTGAACAATTTCCTAGGGGCCATGTGTTTAGGGTGTAGAACAGGAATTTATCATATTAAAGTGTTTTATTCTCCCTGCAAACAAAGCTCTTTATGTTTTCTTTGTTCCAGCGTCTTCCTTTTGATCTCCATTGTCAGAGTTCTGCACCATTGTAATACTTTACAATCTGCTGGGGGAGAAAGAATGACTGATTGTCTCCTTTTGAAAGGCAAAGTACGCGGTAGCCTGCAGCCGGCAGCAGCATCCCTACTGGGAAAGGTACTGTCTGCATTCCCCTCGTTACTTTTCTTCTCCCTCCTTTTTCCCCCTCAACTCTTGGAAACAAAGCCATCCTAGATGAGTCACAAAACCCCAGATTTTAATAGGGAACACGAAACATTACTACTGTGCGCTGGCCAGATTCCAAAGAGAGATTTAGTGTTAAACAGAGAACTTGAAGCCACATTCCATTTGAAAGGAAGAGTGCAAGGGAAGGGAAAGTTCCCATCACACTACACTAAACTCATCTTATTCTGGATGAAAGTTTCAAACAATTATTCTATACACAAAGTTCAGGACAAAAATATGGCAGTGTTCAACAAGCTGGTATTTAAAATAGCTTCTACACTTCTACAGTGTAAAAGTAGTAAATACATTATTTTTTCAATCAAATCCTCTGAGCAAAGGCTGCTTGAGAAGATGACTTTAAAGCACTTTACAGAGGCAGGCAAGTCTTAATTATCTGTGTCAGGCGACCACCCGGCACATCCCAAAATCACTTCAGCTCTGCATCAGCCGGCTTGCAGCTGGCACCGCTGGGCTGTGTTCATGTGGCCCCTCACCGCCTCAGCGCAGCAGCACCTCTTGGTGCTGGACCACAATTTTTGGTCTTGGGATCACTCGGCTTTCCACCTTGCATTGCGTTATTACCTTCTACTTTTACAGTCCGACTGACTTATGTTTGGTATTTGTGCTTTTGCCACGTTCAGGTTATTTCATTCCTTCCTTAATTTGGATAATTGGGTGTTGCCTATACGAGATCTGAATGCTGAACGGGGGTTTGGTGCCCTCAATTCTAAATGAAGTCAGAGTCAGTTGAGGTTACTCAACACTTTGCAAGATCTGGATCTAATTATCACATTAGGCCCTATAACAACCTACTGATATCCAGAGATACACGTTTTATGTATGGAAAACCAATATGCATAGAGGTTAAATGATTTGCATAAGGTCATGGAGGGAATATGTGGCAGAACTCAAATAAAAGCCTGCTAGCTCCACCCTTTCAGCCTCGAGCCTTTTTTTATTACCTCCGGTTTTATATTCCTGCCAGAAGAAGTCATTTCCATTTCAAATATGAAATGGGAAATCAGAAAATGCAGTGAACTCTGAACCACATCTCCTTGGTAATGCAGCAAGGCAGATAAGCAGTATACCAACCTGTGGGTTAACCAACACATTTGAATACAGCTATTGTACAAAATGAGATTGTGTCTGCAGACATGACAGTAAGTATATCTGTTTCTAAGCAGTGGAATGTATGGATGGACACTTAGTCCCCACGGAGATTATTTGCATGTATTTACGTAAATACGCACGACATACTGTTTCAAAGGACAGACTGATGTCATTTGCATCGGGTGTCACACACCTGCTAACCTAAGTTGGAAAAGTAGCAGAGTGGAGTAATCAGAAGTTATTTATTTGTTATCCGCCTTTTCACAACTGTGTTCAGTGAAATACCTGGGAGAGACTCGATTAACCTGGATGTTTGTCTCTTTTGAAGTCATATGTAAGAAAACAATGCAAGATATTCCTTTTCTGGTATATTAATCATAGCAGATATTTGTAATTCACAATAGCAGACCAAAGGTTTAAAAGAAGCCCTATAATTCAGATTTTTTCAGTTCTGCACCTATTTTGTATAGAAAAAACATTAAGTAACCAAGCTAAAATTAACTCCTAATTCTACTTAGAGCTGCTCTGCCAAATTGCCATAATTTGGACGAAAGAATACCAATGAAAAGGTATTACAAAGGCATGACAAAAATCAGAATTAAAAAAAAAAGATAAAAAATTACACACATCTGTAGTCTGTTCAACACTGAGTGAAGGTTCTTGACACAAATAAACAAATCCTATCCCTTAAAATAAGCTATTTGATCTTGCTGCGATATTTCCATTAATGTTTTATGCACATACATATACAGTTCCTGAATGTAAGAGGGTCCATTATAAATATCAAATATGAATGAATTCATATTAATGAGTTCATAATTAATTTATCTACTTGACTATTTGCACGCAAGCTTTTTGGAACACTTAATAAATCATTCTTAAATATTGAATATTCGGAGCATGATCTACTACAAAAACTAAAATCTCAATAGTTATGTTAAGATTCATTATCAAAAGTAGAGGCTAATTTACAAAATAAAGTTTTGTACAGTAATTCATTGGCAAGGTCCTTACCATTCCACACTTTTCATGTTGAAGTAGGTTTATAGGCAAGGCATAGAAATATAATTTTGTATAATTCAATCAAAAATAAAAATTGCATATTATATACAATCAATACAGAATTTTAGCATATTTGAAGGGAACAGAAATCCCACAGCACCTGGACTTATAGCTTGTTTTGTGTCCTGTTTTTTCAGGACACAGAATAACCCTGGTCTCCTAGAGCACTCTTAATAAGTGTCCATCTATTTCAGCAAAACCGCCATTTGTATTTTTTCTTTTCCAAAACTGAATATGCATTTTCATACTGCTTATTGAAAGCACTTTCAGTCTCTCCTGCTCAGCAAAGAGAAAGGACAAAGCATGACAGGACATCAAATCCTTATCCTGTGGAAGACCTTCTCCTACAGAAATCGAAACAGTCCAAAAATGTTCCCTAAGGTCTTTCCCTCTGGCACTCAGAGTATCCAGACTGCAGATGGGTCAGGTGAAAGGGCTGCAGGGTGTCACACATCTACAGGGATCCTGGGCTAGGATAATGCCTAGAGAGCACAGGCAGTACCTGACGGACTGCCTGAATTACACACCAAGGACACTCAGAACAGAGAAAGCACAAGTACTATCCTGACCTGGAGTTTACCCACCCGACTCTGGGACATAAAGACCTACTCTGAACCTTAGAGATGGAGTGGCAGGAATCATATCCTCTGTACACAAGCAAAGTGTGCCAATGCTTGTGCTCTCTCATGTGTTTTACAATTATTACTTGAAACTTTATTGGTGAAAATAGATTTATGAGAATTATTAAGAAAAAATAATTTTCAAAGTACAAAATTTCTTTTAAAATTCAGCATATACAAAATAGCACTCTTTTTGAACACCAATACATTTTCTTTTTTAAAAGGCAGGTTCTTTCACCCATTTCAAAATTCTGATAACATAATTCTGACAGTGGAACAGTTTATACAGTATTTGCCTTCCTCATCTTAAGGGCTGATTCAGGCAAACCTGCCAAAACCTGCAGCTGCTGTGAGCTCCAGCCATCGAAGCTCACAGGCCTTCATTTGTGCGACACAAATACGGTATTTTCCAATTTTAGTTGTGCATGGCATAGCTTCTCTCTTCTCTACAATAACAAAACATGGAGTTTCCCAGAAAATCAGTCCCCTTCAGTACAGTAACAGAGGCATATCCTTAGTCACCATCTCTCCTTTAAGGAAGAGTTCTCCTTACAAAAGAGAGCTCAGATCTTAGCAGGTTAACGCTGTCATCTCCACAACCTGCCCTCCTCTGAGGTGACAGCATCATCACTACAAAAAGCTGAGGATGACACACAACAAGAGAAAGGTAAAAACCACAACCCCACACTATTATCTTTTACAGGCAAACCACAGAGCAGATTAGCACCACAGTAACTGTCACATGCAACTTGAACTGGCTGCACCCATCCATTTCATTCCTCAGAACCCAGATGTAGAAAACATAAGGCCCACTTCAAAACAACTACACACACAAAGCACACAGATAGAGCAGTAATTTTTAAAAGGACTTAAATACATGCTAATGGGAAGATATCTAAAGATGGATGTTTTAATTTTCATTAATGTGCTAGGCGTAGAATTTTCTTCCTCCCCGAGATGCTTCTTGCACATACAGTTTCTGTAATTTTTCGTGAGAGAAAACCACCAAAAGTAACTTACTGCTATGTAGTGGTAGCACAGTTTCTCTACAGACTATGTATTTTCTACTAGCTACTGAAAGAACTCTTGCACTGCTTTTCATGTCATGTTGTACATGTTTTCATGTCATACTCTCTATATGCTAGACTGCAGCAAGAAGAAAATAATACAAGCCAGTAGACCAAGCATCCTGCACTCTTTCAATATTCATGGTAATAATCTTAATTGTAATTAGACAAAATAAATTTAAAGCCTGTTAGAATGAAATCCATCTCTCCTTTCCAATCTAAATATTACTACTGCTTTGCAAGTAAAAAACCCTATGTATCTAGAAACTTAACAGAAGAGATAAGTTTTCCAGTTTGCAATTACAAGGTTTCTGACGGATGCATACCTTTTTGCTGCTGGTGCTGCAGTCTCCTTTCTGGTTCCTGATGGGGAAGGTAAAGAGCCACTTGGTTTCTTTGGTAACACAGTTCCATTATTAACAGTAGTCCTTAAAGGCAGGGTTTGTACCAGCGGTCTTGCTGTAAAACATGTAGAAGATGAAATCATTATTTCTTTTTTTTTTCCCCAGCAAACAACATTAGAATATTTTAAAATATATGTGTAGTATGCTATTTTTATTCAGCACTGCCAAATTCACCAGAGGTGAGGGATTTAACAAGGAGGACTTTTATTTTTTTTTGTTTATAATCATATCAAGCAAATCATCTGCCTATGGCTTAAGCATACAACTCTATAATCAGCCACACTATAATCCAGCTCAAGGAGGTTACTCCTAAGTGTAAAGGCAGTTGTTGCCACCCAAACCAATCCTGCTCTCAAGCGAGCATCTGTCTCTGGCCCACCTGGACAGCATTCAGGACTGCTAGAAATGAAGACAGGTTGCCATTCCAGAAACTCCTGCTCTTTATCCCTCAATGTTTTTGCAGGTTTTCCACAAGCAAACGATCTGATAAGACATCATTATTCACCCCCAGAATCCCTTATTTTAAAGAATGTGGGCTTATGTTTGACAAAAATGAATTTTAGCCTTTATTCAGAAGCAGCAATTGAAATCAGCAGAAGAGCAGACTTCATGAGCTGACGTTAGTTGCCTACGTTCTTCTGACCAGATGTTGGCTCAAAATCCATACACATGTCCTACCTGTAACCAGTACTAGAATAACGGAAAAGTTCCATTCAAGTACGTTAGAAATTATTTGACAAACCCAACAGTGGTTAAAGTGCAAGCAGTGTGTACAAACATGGGAACTACAGTGGAGCATGCCCTGAAACACAGACACAAACACACCAGTGCCCCCCCCCAGCAGGGAAGCAAGCCGTGTACATCACTTGAGACTGGACAACGCCGACAGTCCCTGGGTTCAAAGAAACAACACCCGAGAGAAGGCAGCACTCGCAAGTCACTCCAGAAACATTTAAAATTTCACTGAACTTGGGAGAGCACAGCAGAGAGAATACCTGCAAAACGTTCTTTGAAAAATGGCTGCAGAGGATAAGTGATCTTAAAAAAAACATTTCATATCTAAAAATTACCAATTGCCTACAGTCCTAGGCTGTAGGACGATAACATCTTACGATATCGCTGACAGCAAGCATTTATCGACTTGTTCACCTGAAGTTTTCGTACACTGAACAACGGAAGATAAATGTGAAAGCCTGTGCCTTAGGAAGATCAGATCAGCAAATACAGTCTACTCAGGAATGCAAGTTTCAACAGAAACTTGTCTTAAAACTTTATTAAAATATATTCTTGCTTGTCATGCAGTCATCATTTATTTGTTCAGAGGGGAGAAAGCCATAAGGAAATATGGAAGGAATGAGGCTTATTGGGTTTAGAAGACGCAAGACAACATGAAAAATACTCAAAGAAAAAAATTAAAGAGAGGAAAATCTTCCCCATGCTCACTGAGGCTCCCAGAGCGTGTAACTGCAAAAGACTGATGGGGCCAGACAGTACTGGTTTTACCATGGATAGGAAGAGCAAGGGCACTCTGATTTTATGGGAAGCTTTAAGGAAAGGCTGAAGATGACTGACATGAATTCATGGTGCCTTCCAGCCCTGGCTTCCATGATCTATTTTAACAATCTAATTCTGTCTTTAGAGCTTATCCAAAACACTTAAGACTTACTGCACTTGGCTTCTCACATTTGTGTTTATGATTTTTTTAATTAAGGAATCCAGATATCATGACCCTATTTACTTCTAAGGTATTCATTCTCCCAAGTTAAATTCCTTCTACAGTTCCTTGCTGGATGCTTTACTGCTTGTTTCCTGACTGAGTTCTGCAATGCTGTAATTAATCTGTATGTATAAAACTGATTATGCTGAGTATTACGGAAGCACAAATAGCTACAGTTGAGCTGCTGTAGGCTTGTTTACTGACAAGATTTCTGTAGCTCGCAAAACTTTAATGAGGCTTTGAGATCATGAATTAGAACAATTAAAGTTAAATAAACAAATTAATGAAATGTTTTCTTTCTTTACAGCTATATAAAAAATGCCTATTAAAAAGTAGCTGGAGTCCATTTACTATCCTACCCTTATGAAATCGAAACTAGCAGCCAGAGACAAACCCTGCAGCCATTCACAGAAGTTTTGCTTCAAATCCAGTGCCAATCCAGAACACACACTTCTGGAGATGGAGATTTAAAGATCTAGCCCCATGGTCAGCCAGTGCAGAAAGCAACATCACACAACACCTACACAGCACGCAGAAAAACTAAGCGTTATTCAATTAATCCACTATTTACTCTGAAGCTATTTAGTTCTGTTTACAACATCTATTTCACACCAGTGGTAACTGACACAACAGTCAAACAACCCCAAATACGTCATTCCTGTGAGAAGTCAGTAACTCAAGCACACCAGTATTATTGTTTTGTCAGTAACGTTTATTTTGGAAGTTCTGTTGCTTCAAGGTCTTACCTTTGGTAGCAGAACTGACATGTTTATCAGCCTCAGCAGCAGCTTTTTTAATCATACTCTGATCTATGGATTAATAGGGCTGTTAAGTTTACAAACAAACCAATATTGCAAAAGGAAAGAACAACAAACACAAGTAAAACAAAGGCAGGAAGCCATAGTGAACTCCACCAAGTAGTTCAATTAAATAAGGAAGGGGAAAAAAACCCAACCCCAAATAAAAACCCAAAACATCATTAGTGAAGGAGCTCCACAAATGGACAAATAAGCAGCTCGCTTTCAGTGATGTAAACTGCTTTTAAGCTGCCTACCTTACGTCTAGAAGAACACACACGAAGACCAAACCAAGCTCAAGCTTTTTTCTATCACAGCTTTGAAAGCCTGAAACTTGAAATCTTTAAACCAGTTTTAAATCTGAAGTACTCAGAAAATGTCATCTTCTGCCCATGAAGCTTCTTGTTACAGACCTTAAACAGTACACAGGGATTGTCTTTTCCACCTACCCCCAACACACACACACTTTTATTCCTGATCTACTCCATCTACAAATCAAACGGAAAAAGCAGCATACAATATGCTTCAAACCCAACTTGCATGAACAAGATTTTTGTGACACTCTGGGAGCTCAAATTCCACTTTTTACAATTCTGAATGTGGAATTAGTCACTAAATTATCAATGGAAAGAAAACAGATCGAGTCCCACGTAGCCTAAGTGGGAAAACACGAGAAGCCACCGCTCCAGTTTCACCCATGTCTATGCAAAACCCATCTCCTAACAGTCTCCATAATGTTATTCCAATACTGAAATTCCACTTAGTCTTATGCTAAGTATGTGTACACAATCTGGTATAAAGTAGCTGATGGCCTGTTTTTCCTGTAGTAGGCACGAGTGAAATGTATTGTATTTGACAAAGCAGCTGGAAGAAACAAACGATCAGGATACTTCAGCTTCTGTTTTATGTTGCAGAGTACGTTTAATAAGGCTGACCATACACTCATGATATAACTGATATATAGCAAAATCAAAAGTTCTTTACATAAATCATTACAGTAGCAAATTTCCAGCAATTAGTTGGATTTAGCTGGCAATTATCAGGACTCATTTCAGTAATTTGAATGGATAAGCAACTGGCTTTGTAGTCCTCAGTCTGCATCATCACAGCAGAACACTGTCATTTCACACACACACGAAGAAGTACCCACGCCATGTACACATTAAAAAAAAAAAGACATCAAAAACAGCCACAGAAGGCAGAAAGACTTACAGCAGCTTTTCTTCAGTGTACATTGAACTATGGCTTTAATGATCTGCCACAACCAAGAAAACATCTCCTGATTTAGAGTTCAACTCTGCTCACAGAATCCGTGAAAATCTGGTCTGTATTTTGCTCACTAAAGCCAGCAGGCAAGAACAACTGCTTTGGTTACAGCTCAGTAATAATTAATAGACTTTATTTCCTCCACACATCAGATATCTGTTTTACAGGCATCATAAAGCCTCTTAATTCCCTATACAACCAGATCTGGTGGAATATTTTATCACAGCGAAGGCTATCTTTAGTAACAGTTAACTTTTCTAATATTTTTTTTTTCCAATCAAACAGGCAAAGACAAAATGAGGATACAAGGGAAATGGAAGAGAACAGGAAAACAAGATCAGACATTTACTGCATGTTCTGTCCAACAACTAGCATGATATACAATCAACTAATCTGGCTCTGTAATTCTGTCCCTTTCTCCTTTCCTTGTCTCCAGACACAAAACATTATAAAAAACACAACCTTTCAGTTCAGCAAATAAAGTAGTTCCTTAACTATTCTGTTAAATCAATGCCTAAAAGTATCTGTCACAGTCACAAATATATAGCGCCAAAGTGAAAGGAAAACCTGATTTCCAGCTGAGAAAATTATGAATCCATAATTATATCTCACATTTCCGATGTGAGTGAAGTTTTTAATTTATATTAATGCATATCAGGACCCCAAAAGAAACAATTTCTTCATTTAGACAACAGAGAGCCTGCGAAGTCAGCCATACTTTCTTTCCATATCTCAATTGCCACCACTCTTACTCCCAAGACTACCCAAAAATACCTCATGCATTTCTCCTAAACTGCAGATAGGCAGTCTCTCTGGCTCTTGCAGTCTACAGTAAATCACACCGATGGGGTTCTAATAAGCCTTTCCTACTGTGAACCACTGGCTGTTCAACTCCTTTTTTCTGAGTCGTGTACAGACAGACCCGTTCCCGCAGAGCAGGAACCAAGAGAGAGCATGCTGCGGCGCATCAGCGCAGCACAGCCTATCGGCAAGTGGCAACATCTGTCACACCTGGCACCTCGCTGGCTCTGGGTCTGCTGCACTGCAACGGGGTCAGGCACCAACTGCAGCTCACCCTTCCCTCCTACCCCGACAGCTGGTGTCACACCATCTTCTCGGTCATGTCACCTCTGTGCTAGCCCAGAGCTCTGCCTCTGCCTGTGCCTGCACCATCCAAAGACACTTAAGGTAATTTTAGTTAACTGAGAACTACATTTTACTTATATTTAATTAATGTTTTCTATCAGAAATAAACTCTTAATAGTTTTACCCATAGAAAACAATACATTGCATGGTTAAATGTATGGAGTGGAATAAACAGCAAGAACATGGAAACGTTTTGCTGGTTTATAGGTGTGCTGGGTTCAGCCAGG